CTTTATGAGAGAATCTGCAAATCTCCGAATAATGAGCACCTCCTTAAACTGAGCACTTTTTGCCGGTCCCGATGGCGCTCAGATTAAAGAGGTTTTACTGTATTTCTGTTTTCTGAATTTAGGTTTTCCAATTATTATGTCGAGCTATAATTTCAGTCGTAACAATGGTGATCAAGGACCACCGTCAGATGACTTCGGTAATACCAATAGTGTTTCTATTTCGTATGTGATTTCATATTAGCTGCATACTTTTGTGAGTAAAAGAAGAAACCAATTTAATAGGAATCTGACTTGCACAGACAGATGGATATGTGAGCATCGTTGGCGACAAATCTACAATATGGTTGGTTTCCGTAATACAGCCAAATTTGAACAGGTTCGAAAGTGGTGGGATAATGGTAACAATCAAATTGCTTTCGGACTTGGTGATAAAGGTAAGCAGTTGGATTTTTATTCTTTGAAATTTTTTTTTTTTGTATATTTTAATTTTAGCTTTTATTGCCATAAACAATGACAACTATAATCTATCGCGAATATTAGAGACTGCACTTCCAGCAGGCCGATATTGTGATGTAATATCTGGCCAACTCGAAAAAGGTCGATGTACCGGGAAAATCATTATGGTTCAAAGTGATGGAAAAGTGGAAGTCAATATTGCTGATACAGACGAAGACCCAATGATAGCAATTCATATCAATGCAAAAGTCTAACAATCCAATGTACTTTATCTAAGTTCTATTTCTGACGCAAAGAAATGTCTTTTCTATTAATAAAATCTATTAAATGAAAAAATAGGCGGGCTGTGATAACTCTCGCCCTGAGTGAAGAAGAAACAATTCTATTCTAGAATCCTAGTATCATGAATTTGATGGTGTGGGTTTCTGCATGGATGACGGTTTGGGCGTGTGAGATGAGAGAGCATGAAAAGAGGAGGGATATGAATGTGAGATAGTGTTCTGTAAAAATGACTTTTCTCGATTCCTGTTCCTATAAGGCTTCCAGAATTTTGATTAGAACTTCATTTTTCGTGCTTAGAAAAAGATCTCATTGCCACAAACTAGCATCCATGATCGTCGCACTTTGTGCAACGTGAGATGAACTTAAATTAAACAAAGAATTAAGGTTGAAGGCACATTTTAGTAAAATAATCAGTTCTTTTTTTTTATTTCTCGAAATTTATCAACACTGAGCTGAAAGAATTATTTTCTTCATCGATTGAACGATTGAAAAGAGAAAAAGTACTAGGAGATCAACAACATCGATGAAAAATTTAAGAGAAGAAGATAAATATAATGCTATGTATTGCGATATCTAAATAATAGTCTTTTCAAAGATAATGGTGACAAAGAAAATAATAATCATGATAATTGAATTACCATGTAATGAATATTGGATGAATTTGTCTGGGATGTAGGTGTAGACTAGAGTATGTTCGAGTATCTGTTGGGTTAGTATGTCAAGAAGAACAAATTGTTGCCCATTCACGCTTCAATCCAAACCCCTTTTTTGAGAGGTTTTGCTATTTGGTTAAAAGTTGGATCTGAAAAAGCTTTGCAGATCTCCTTTTTTTTTCAGAGTATCTACATCTAACCTTGCAATAGATCTTGATATTTATATTCAATGCTTTGATTATTCTCAATGTGTAAATTTTGATTTTCGGATCATTTGAATAGATACGGAATGATAACCATTTGATGAGACCTTTAAGCAAAGCCGAAATGTATCGTAGTTTATTCGACTCACTCACCTATCTAATAAACGTCATTCCAGAAATTATTGTTTTCGAAAACACAAAACTCTTTTAGTGAATTGAAAACCCACTTAAACACAAGTTGCAACGTCTCATGTCGTTTAAGTTGAAGTTGATTTATAATGCCACTCAATATCGACTCCATAACGAAGATAAGATTGTTTTTATCGTTAAGAACATAATGATACTCATTATAGCAGCTAAGAGCATGATAATTGTATCCAGCAAGACCAACATCGGAAGCACAGCCATAATAATAAAGAGCACCCTAATTATATCATTATCACCAGAATCACCACCAACATAAGCAAGAACAAGAACAAAAGCATCATCATCAGTAGCGATAAAAGCGTTGTACAGTTCAGTTGTCGCTGCAGTATCTTAGACAGCTTATGTTTATTGGAGTCTAAAGTATGTTTCAAAAGAAATAGATGACTTATATGTATGATTTGTGGGTGTATGTGAAGAGGACTTACCCACACCCATAACACTTCCGGAGTTGCTACGTCGGAAATTGAATGAATTACGAGAGAGTATTGTTTGAGCTCGTAAGACGTAAGTAACTGAAGCTTCGAAGCGAGACAATTAAGCAGAAACATTGAGGTATTCTTTTAATATCTATTCTATTCTTGTCGAATGTGATGTATTTCACATCCACTCTTGGTTGTTAAATAGCAACGCTTACACATATCTAAGAAATATCTTTCTCTAGAGTATAGTAAGGAACCGTTTAACCAAGTACCAGTCTAATCTTATCGACGAGTAGACACCAATTCGATGTAAGTGTATCAGCATGTGCTTCGATATAGAGATCACTCAAGAATTCTATTGATACATTACCATGTTCTTCTCTTGACATACAGATCACGGTATTGTATACTATATTTCAATTCGCTGTGATGCTCTGTAGTTTGTAATGACCTTGTTTCTTATTGTTCAATTGAATCAATTCGTTGAATACTTGTGCAATATTCAGAATTCACATAGAAAGTGGCTATTTTGGTTCGACGAGCATCGGCATCGAACAGATCAAAGTATTGTTCTGATGAATACGCTTTTGACATTTCTTTCTTCTGTACATTGTCCAATCAACGTACATATACGGCTAAGTATGGACGATAAACATTGAGAGATAGCATTACAATATATTTAGCAGTGCTGCGTTAAACATGAGCTAGTGTTTGTCTCGTTCACAGACTGTGACATACATTTTATTTAAATATCTAATTAATATCTTGGTAATATCTAATAATTATCTAATATCCGATACAAAAGTCTTTGAAAAAATATCAATCTCTGTGATACTATATTGCTGTCTTCTGCACGAGCCAAATTTTTTTTTGTTAGAAAGATCAATGTCTAAACGACAAGTTTTGTACCGAACATATTTTTCAAGAGCGAACCTGACGAAAAGGAAAACCTCAAAGTCAAATATCTCTAAAAAAGTCCTTGCAAAATTTTTCCAACTTGAAAATGACGTATCTCTGAATTATTTTGAGCTACATAAATGGATAAAATTGAAATAAAACTACATACATCAAAACGTAGCGCATTAAAAACTATCGACATCAGCTTTTGGCAATATTCTTTTAGATTTGTTCTTGACTGTTTAATCGAAAAAGTTTGAAAGATGAAATTTTTGTAAAAAATAGTCTTTTTCAAGAAAAAACAATTTGCAACAAACATCCGTCACCATCGCTAGAAATTATGTATAGACTGAATTCTTTTTTTGCGATATCTATTCGAAATATTTCAGATCATAGGAACTTAGCAGAGAAAATAATTCGAGAAATATTCTTTTACAATTGCAAAACGACTACATAGTAAGAACTACCAAATTAAAAAAAGCACTCTTCACGCTACAAAAAATCAGTCTTAAAGTGGTTTGTTTCATTTCCATTCTGATATAAAAAAAATGACAGAAAATAAAAGATGCTGTTGCTAATATGTCTGGAACAAAATTTGTAGTTCATACTTTTAATTGTCTCCTATAACGTATATATTATTTTTGAGAAATAAAAGATAGACAGAAAAAAAAATAAGAAGAAAAGATTTATTGATATTATGAATTTCATTTTCACATTGAGAAGAAAATATTCATTACTCATCATATCCTCGAATCCATTAATGATTTAATTTAATATATGATAAGCAACTATTTTATTTCATTTTTTTTATACTTGAAAATTTTATTTAATTACACTTTTTTTTTCAGCAACTTTATATTTATGAATCGATTCAATTGTATTAATTACTCGGCAGTAGATAATAAATTGTGCTTGATGTTGAAGTACCAATAAGTTTCTCTTGGGAAAAATGTCGAGTGGTTTCATCCAAATTGAGCCTAAAAATATTCATAAACAGAGAAAAAAATTTTCTTTGATATTTAATTATTCAAATGATGCTGTTTATCTTTGAAGCTTGTCAAGATAATGATAGGTTCTACATCTTTGAAAAATATGAAGAGTCATAGTACCAAATGATAAAAATTAGTTAAAAATTTATTATATTATTTTATTAATGTATGGCATTATATGAAAATAATACTTTTTTATGTCGTGTTTGTTATGGTAAAGTGATGCAGAGATCCACAATCACGTATTGTTGTGTAGAAACACGTCACTTATATTTTCTTTTAAGAAGATTTCTTTATCAAATTTTAACATGAAATTTATTTTCTTATTCATTTTTATAATATAACTTATTCTTTCTTGATTTAAAATTTCATTTATTTTAGGAATAAGAATAATAATTTCTGAACAATTTTGTGTGTTTTTAGATGATTCGAATTAAATGTAAAATTTTTATTTATGCTAATTCATATTTTCAATTAACTATATTCATTATTGAAATAAAATATTTCTTTTCTAAAAAAATTTATAGAAACAATGAAGACTTATTAAAGTATTTGTGTAATTTTATGAAAAAACAATCGGATGACTGCTCATGAATATCGAGTTTTTATTTCGATTCGACGAGTAATTGGCTGAAAAAAAACACATAAAAATACTGAATGATTGAAAATATATCATTAACAATGATGTGATTGTTTCAAAATTTATGAAAAAATTTTATTTTGATTTAACATAAAAAACTAAGTAGAAAAATGTTATTTCATTATAGTTAGAGGTAATCAAGTTTAAAAAGTTTTGTTCAATATAGATAGATAGTTCGAACGTGCCTGAGAGCACATTTTTTTGAATATTGTTGTGAATATATTTAGTTTATTGTAAGAAGAGATAGAATAAATTATCTTCTCTCATTAGAATTGTCATATCGTGAGCTACAAAAGTATTTATTTAACTTTTTCGTAGATTTTGTTTTATTGTTGAAAAAATTGAGTTTTCTTCCCGTTTGGCAGAAAAATTAGGCAAAAGGGGATTAAAAATGCGCTTGTATTAACGTTTTTTTATTACCAAGGTCTAATTAAAAAGCGAAATAGCTAGGATATTTTGAATAATCGTTAACAACTACATCAAACTCTATTTATCTTGAGAATCTTTTTCTCTTATGAGAAAAACTAACTCTTGTGGGACTACAGGTATTTTTTTCTATCGGCAACAGATTTTGATGTAACATAAAATTATGCTTAAAGAGAGAAAACGTGAAAAGCTTTATTTTCATTTCATTGATTTTCTTTGTTCACTAAGGAAATCTTAATCATAGATTTTACAACTATTTATAATGGAAATATAAAATCTTATGTTAAATGTATTTTGTTAAAATTCGAATACGTTCAATGAAAATAAATTACAGTAGATGAGTGTATTCATATATAAAAATATCATTAACGATGAAATCTTCCGGTGAAGATGACATTTTTAAACAGTAATAAGATTCAATTATTTTAATGAATTTTTTTCTCTTTATTAATTTCAAGTAACATGTCTAAATAGTTGAAAACAATCTGTTTTATCAATAGAACTTGCCTCTCAAAGGAATAAGTTCAATGTTAAAGTC